TGTGATGAATTGCCAGAATTTTGGCTCCATGATTTTATTCAAGATTTAATTATTTTCGTCCGTCTCGGTTTTGTTTCATTTTTACCAGCGCGGTTATTATTTTTCCTGCCTTTACCATACATATTCGTTCACTTAATTCGCATAAATGTAACATTGGCGTCTCATTTGCGTACGATTTGCGATGATTCTGTGTGTGTATCACGGGAGTAGTCATTAATTTTATTCGATAAGGTAACGCGTTGTTGCTTTCCAGCCATGTGTGTGTCCGTATAATCATTCGTAATGACCAGCTGTCCTTATTGTATTAGTGAGCTTGACCTTTATATTCCTGTGTTTGTCGGTAAATTGAGACTCATAAAAGCATTTAAATTTGTGGACAGTATTGTCCGACAAAATAATTTGAAAATGGTTATTTGTCCAGATACACGCAGCGGTAACCTTAAAGAAAAGTCCTGCTAACCGCTATTTTAACTGTGCAATTTTAAAAATTCTAAACTTGCATCAAGAAAATATCAGTTTTGCACTTTTAACTTTTTACATTGTCGATGTTTGCATGCAGCGAATGGTTAATGAATGAAAAACAACGGTTGTGAATCAATCTTGTGTTTTATTGTCAAAATCGACGGTACATTTGGTATTTTGCGCCATTCTCATCACACAAGCTTATCACGAAGGGCGCTACGTCTCAAAGACAAGTAACGAGTCTGCAGTAGTTTCACGGTTTTGGGTGTGATGTTGCTGTGTGGTTTCACCCAATTTGGTAACCTATGAGTATAAGAATAGGTTTTCCCATTTTTTTCTGGCAACAAAACAGGTATTGAGATGTTAAAACACCAAACTGAAATCTTTTACAAGGAATCATGTCTGCATTCTGACCACAAGCAAAAAAGCATACTCTGATAATATATGCAAGAAAAAAGGGGAAAACCTATTCTCATATTTTGATACTGACAAAGGAGGTCCCTTGACGTAGTTGCTCACCCCGAGCTCTCATTACTCTGATAGTGGCATTGTCTTTGTGCTATGTGACGCCTTTTGGCGTCCTCTGGTCTAAGACCGTTTGGGACTCGACTCAAAAGAAAGCTGTCTCTGGTGTGGACCAATCAGTTGCAAAGACAATGCATATATTAACAGGTTTTTTTTTGCATTCTGACCACAATACTTGTGGTTAATGCGGACATTATTCCTTGTAAAAGGTTTCAGTTTGGTGTTTTAACATCACAACACCTGTTTTGTTTGCCAGAAAAAAGGGGAAAACCTATTCTCAGATTTTGATACTGGCAAAGGAGGTCCCGTGATGTAACCAACAAGTAAATAACGCTGCCAAATGTGGAGCGTAACTCCGACGAGACACACACACAACTTTTTTTTTCTCCCAAATAACGTCACAAGAGGATCCTTAACATTGTGCCATGGCGCAAACCGCGTGCACCTCTATTGAAGACACCCGCAGTAGCAACCAGGGCCGAAGCGCAACTCTCTGAAACAAGTGGCAAAACGTGCTGCCGCTCGGGCTGTTTCATGTTGGGTTGTGGAACGTTTAAATACAGCAGCGTCTCCTCCAAGTGCTGCTGCACAAGTCAGGGTGGAGGGCGCATTTTAGGAGGGGGTGTCTGACGCGACATGAACTCATGTGTCATAGGTTGGCCTTGGGTTCAAGTTCGGGGCGGCCACTGGATTCCATCCACGGACCTCTGCAACCAGCGACGAACGTGCTACCGCTGGATCAATCAACCAAAGTTTGGAGAAAAAAAAGATGAAATATATACTAAAACCCCAACGAGAACCAGAGCCTTGCATGTCATGCATATTCCATTTGTAACCTGAGCCTATGACCAATTGCAACTAATTTCGTAAAATCTCAGAAGCTCGGCCGGTTTGAGCTTGTACAATGCTTGCTTGGCAGGATGTCCATCTGCATGGTATAGGCCGCTGCAGCGGGTAGTTCAGAAAAAATGAATTGTCGTGCCGTACTATACTTCCGCAACTATGTCCACCTGCAGCCCGCACTGAACAGCGTGGTGAAGTATGGTCAAATGATAAACAAAAAACGGGCTGCATATATACGTGCATTTGTAATCCACAACACCTTCACCGGGTGTCAAGAGTAATTTCCTGGTAGATTACTGCATTGGCCTATCCGGCTATTACCAAAATAAGCATTTTGTACGTGGGAAGAAACGCGCACCTGGATAAACGCACTGAATTAGCGGACAAGTCCAACATCCACAGAGCCAGGCAGTGTTGCTAACTCCTTCAAGTGGGAAATTGCTTAATGACCATTGACAAAAATCTCCGGATGTTGGTAGACGGTCAAATATCTCACTGGACATGTTACCAAGTATTATGCACGATGTAAACTCATGACAGGACCCTGGATAGTTCATCAATAAGTTGAATCATGTCGGTGGACAATTTATTAAATATGTAACACAGTCAAATTGATACAGGTTGCATACATGGGGTCGTGTCACTGGAAAATGTACTTAAATGATTGTGAATTTGTAATTTCTGTAATCTATTGTCAGAAAACAAAACAGTAATACAAATGAAATCAGCAACGAAAATCACGATGTAACATTACCTAACAAAACCACACGATGCGATTACCGCCTCTTAGATTGTACGCAGAAAACCGTGGTATCGCGGAAGAGCGCGTGAATGAAACATTGCAACGACACGGGAAAAAAAACACACACACACATGCATCGCACGCTCGCGTCGGGAGCGAGACACCGGCCCTGGATGTGAACTGGGGCCTTCGCGGCTAGGTGGCCGTGGGGAGGTCTTCCGAGGCACTCGTGCGACGAGCGCCTGGCGCCTGTGAGGCGTCTCGCGCAGCTGAACTTTGATGCGCATCACTGCCGACGCAAATCGCGCCGGCCGGGCTCACTGTTTGCCCACGTGCAAGGGGATGTAACGATGTATAAACCAATTAAGGAGCTACGTCAAGAAAGCGAGGCGGCGTTCGTCACGGAACTCGCCGCGTTCAACGCCTGCTGTCTTTGCTCTGACGAAGGGCCATTGCCTCAAACGTTGAGAATATTAACGGGGGTTTTTTTCCATTCTGGGATGAAGATTAATACGGTGAACTTTTTTTTTACTTGCGTAGAATGTAATAAAATACCCTGGCGGACACTAAACAAGGACCCCAATAAAGCGATAGCATTGACATAATGCAAAGTTGTTTACATTAGTAGATTGACGTGGTTTATAATGTCCCTTTGTTATCTGTACAGCAATATTATTTAACCCAGGGCGGCGCAGAGGTAAATTGGGTGGCTTACTGCGCTATATGCAGTGAGGGAAAAAGATATTTGATCCCCTGCTGATTTTGTACGTTTGCCCACTGACAAAGAAATGATCAGTCTATAATTTTAATGGTAGGTTTATTTGAACAGTGAGAGACGGAATAACAACAACAAAATCCAGAAAAACGCATGTAAAAAATGTTATACATTGATTTGCATTTTAATGAGGGAAATAAGTATTTGACCCTTCCGCAAAACATGACTTAGTACTTGGTGGCAAAGCCCTTGTTGGCAATCACAGAGGTCAGACGTTTTTGTAGTTGGCTACCAGGTTTTCACACATCTCAGGAGGGATTTTGTCCCACTCCTCTTTGCAGATCTTCTCCAAGTCATTAAGGTTTGGAGGCTGACGTTTGACAACTCGAACCTTCAGCTCCCTCCATAGATTTTCTATGGAATTAAGGTCTGGAGACTGGCTAAGCCACTCCAGGACCTTAATGTGCTTCTTCTTGAGCCACTCCTTTGTTGCCTTGGCCGTGTGTTTTGGGTCATTGTCATGCTGGAATACCCATCCACGACCCATTTTCAATGCCCTGGCTGAGGGAAGGAGGTTATCACCCAAGATTTGACGGTGCATGGCCCCGTCCATCGTCCCTTTGATGCGGTGAAGTTGTCCTGTCCCCTTAGCAGAAAAACACCCCCAAAGCAAAATGTTTCCACCTCCATGTTTGACGGTGGGGATGGTGTTCTTGGGGTCATAGGCAGCATTCCTCTTCCTCCAAACACGGCGAGTTGAGTTGATGCCAAAGAGCTCCATTTTGGTCTCATCTGACCACAACACTTTCACCCAGTTGTCCTCTGAATCATTCAGATGATCATTGCCAAACTTCAGACGGGCATGTACATGTGCTTTATTGAGCAGGGGACCTTGTGGGCGCTGCAGGATTTCAGTCCTTCACGGCGTAGTGTGTTACCAATTGTTTTCTTGGTGACTATGGTTCCAGCTGCCTTGAGATCATTGTCAAGATCCTCCCGTGTAGTTCTGGGCTGATTTCTCACCGTTCTCATGATCATTGCAACTCCACGAGGTGAGATCTTGCATGGAGCCCCAGGCCGAGGGAGATTGATAGTTCTTTTGTGTTTCTTCCATTTGCGAATAATCGCACCAACTGTTGTCACCTTCTCACCAAGCTGCTTGGCAATGGTCTTGTAGCCCATTCCAGCCTTGTGTAGGTCTACAATCTTGTCCCTGACATCCTTGGAGAGCTCTTTGGTCTTGGCCATGGTGGAGAGTTTGGAATCTGATTGATTGATTGCTTCTGTGGACAGGTGTCTTTTATACAGGTAACAAGCTGAGATTAGGAGCACTCCCTTTAAGAGTGTGCTCCTAATCTCAGCTCGTTACCTGTATAAAAGACACCTGAGAGCCAGAAATATTTCCGATTGAGAGGGGGTCAAATACTTATTTCCCTCATTGAAATGCAAATCAATTTATAACATTTTTGACATGCGTTTTTCTGGATTTTTTGTTGTTATTCTGTCTCTCACTGTTCAAATAAACCTACCATTAAAATTATAGACTGATCATTTATTTGTCAGTGGGCAAACGTACAAAATCAGCAGGGGATCAAATACTTTTTTTCCCTCACTGTACCTGGATACCCGAGTACTATTCCCGGCCACGGCTAACATCAGTGGCGAGCGATATCTGAACAGGTCCCTAGATACCACCCTTTCCCAATTCACACTGACCCGTCTGGTGAAGTATGGTTAAATAACCCCATGACAAACACATTGAAATATGTAGGCCTTCATCTAGCAGTGGATTGACAAAGGCCTACATATTTTCATCATCATTAAAAACCGAATTAAAAATTAAACTACTTCCTTGGCTTAAAAATATTGGGTTCGCTAAGTAGTACTGCTTTACAACAAAATGAATATAGGCATGTAGTACCAATAACCCATCTGTTTTAATTATAGCACGTGACAGGGGAAAGCGTTATCTGTCTGTATTTATCCTGCAGTGTTCCAGAGTCGTGTATTACTTAGGCAAATTGAAATGAAGGCGATCGCGCGCTTTATTATAATTGTGTTTGCAGGAACATTGCCCGATCGATTTAAACAAATAAAAGTGCGTTCCCGCTCAGAGTGAGTTGCAGAACTCATCTCCAAATTACAACTCAAAGAAAGTGGTGGTAATTCCACATTCATATGGTAGCGGACCACTTTATCCCTGACAAGCACCATCAATAGACTAAAGGATTCGGTCGTTTATGAGTGACTGGCGGATTAAGGCTCCCCCCGCCCCCCACGCCTTGTCGGTGATGGATGTTGTTTGACTATACTTCACCACGCTGGTCACTACGGGTTGGCAAAGCGAGAGTTCCGAGGACAGGTTAAGATATTCCACTCGCCGCTGATATTGGGCCGCTGAGCATATTACAACTCTACCACCTGCACTTTGCATTTCCTTTATGATATAACAGCTTATATATCAGCAAATAGCAACAATGGCATATGGTTTTACGTGCACCTGTTTGCTTTGCCTAAGTCGCGGAAGAGGGCTGGGGAGTAATTTGTTGAGCAATCTGTGTAATAGACCGTGAAACTAATCGAGTCGTGCGCGTAAGCAAACCGCACGGCGTAATTAATCCGTGCAATTGATTGCACGGATGCTGGGGCCAGACGTGAGGACGGAGGGCTATAAATGAGGAGCGGACCACTCTGTGAGTTCACGAACCTGCCTCCGGCACCCCCGACTCTCGCCGCACATTCGCTAACCAGCAGCACGTCCGGCAAGTATTGACGCTGACGACGCCACCCTCTGAGCAATATATGTCGACCGCTCCGCAGGAAGGGGTGACAAGTGCCGTTGTTTCTCCCGCGTGCGTTTTCGAGCCGCTGTGTCCCGTGTTGTTCGGCGTGATGTCCCCGCCTCGTGAAGCGAAACGTCGGACGTCGTTGCAGTAGTGGTGTTTACGAATTTATTTGCGTGCATTTTCTTTTTCACGTGCGTTTGAAAGTTCATGTCGCGGTTGCACTGCGAGCCCAGCGAAACCTGAGTTCGATTTCCAGTCATGGTCAACGTCAGCGGCGAATATCCGAACCAGTTATGGGCCTCCATTAGCTCGACTCAGTCTTAAATGAGTACCTGCTTGATGCGGTGTATAAACAATACAATTCAGGAGACAAATGCAGCCGGGCGTGGTGCTGGTCACATCAACCTCCTCCTACATCATGGCAGCCGAAGTAAATGCTTGCAAACCAGCACTTGCCCCAGTAGTCTGTTAAAAGGCTATACAGGGGATATTTTCCTTTTGTGTGTGTGGCGTTTGTGTAGCATTTATCACGAACATTGGGACTGCTTGTCATCACCAAAGACATGTGAGACATCCACCACAGCCTGCACAAATAAGCATCCGTGCTAGGTTAGGGAGAGCACTGAAGCATCTCTAATCCACCTTGAGAAATATATAATCACTTAAATTATACACGTACAGTCACATCCCTTTTTTTTGTCAATCAATTGTTGGACGTTAGCCTGCCTGCTCACACCAACGTACCCCCCGCATTCAAGCGTGACCCTGCTGACCTTCCGAGATCTGAAGCTAAGCAGGGTGATTCAGAAAAGCCATAATGAGTGTTAAAGTCTAATTTCAGGAGGGTCATTCGTTGGACTCTTTGGCGAATACTTGATATTTTTAAAAAGTGTATTGTTGTTATTGTTTTCCCGCTAAACTTTGCTATGTACATCTGCCCTGCTACTTCTGCCAGTGACCATCGGTTTCTACAACACCCCCGGCGCGCCTGATGATGTGAATGGTTCTCCCCGTAGAAACAATGAGCGACGCGGGATTCCTGGCGGCACCGGTGCTGCTGCTGCTGCTCGTCAGCCTGGCCTCGGCGTCTCTGGAACAAGCGGCATCACGCGACGATGACAGGTGACCCCACCGCCCCCTACCCCCTTCATCGCATGTCACGCCATGTCAAGGAATAAACAAACGGGAAGGGTTAAACAAAAAACCTGAAACGCTGTAGGGGCAATTAAAACAATCCTACCGTGCCTGCGATTGGGTTGCAGCAAACGACTTGATGTTAAATATTCGCTTCGCGTTCCCTATAATTCGGTGTAAAATAAAAAATAAAATAAAAATGTATTTCTTTTTTAGGTATTTTATGCAATCGGAAACGGACGCTGAGTTTTCGATGCGATCCAAACAAAGGTGGTGACTTTTTGTGACCAAACTTGGGTGCAGAGCGTGTGGAGGGGCGTTTTTGCAAAACAAAATCACAAGCAGCACGACTGACGTCATTGCGACATATATCTCATACATTTTAATTGAACGTCAAACGCAGCGGTGCCATCATCACAGCACTATGGCAGCACACTTGACAATACCGTGACAATAAAGCCTTTTTTTTTGCTTAGCCATTAACATTCCAACACTGAACAAGCGTCTTCCATTCTGCACAGTTTCTTGTCACCTTCATCTAAATATTCTCATCTCATCTATAGGCCTCATCATGCTGTCTCCCACTCTTTCTCCTTGCTTGCGTTGGCCTCAATGCTGTCGTTAATCTCACCCACTCGTCTGTCATCTGCTGTCTTAGCTCGATGTGCTGCCCAACTCCGTTTCAGTTTTGGTTCACTTTGTACATTCCATCAGTCGCCACAGTTTAACTTCTCAAATCTTCATTTCTAAGTATTGTCCTTCGACATTTCGTTCTAAATCCTCCTTTCCTCTACTCCTTGGCAGCCTCGTATCTCTCTTGCTTGCTTGCTCCTTCGTCGAGGACAAGGTTGCTATGCCCTCTAAGTTACGAGTTGCATAATACAAGAATCTAGAAATTTCACTTTTTCATTAACTACGTTTCAAACTGACGCAGAAAATCCTCGGACACAGAGCCCGTGTACTTTATTATAAGATAAGAACTGTTTAATTATTGGGTCGCACGTTCCTATCAGTGACATCCGGCAGCAGACGCTTAGCACAGAATAAGCCGAAACTTGGAAGTGCCGACTGATTGGTTTTCCACCTTCCCTGCCGTACATGCACACGTGCAGCCCTGTTTGTCAAACCACTGCTACATGGTGACTTTACCGCACCAGCTGTGGCTTATCTAACCATACCTCACCATTGTTTAGCGGTGCGTGCTGTTGGCGAAGGCGGTGAATGCGGTCGTGGAAGTATGGAAGAAGTGCAGTCGATACAACAATGGATTTAGCTGCACGCTTCGAATACCGCCCGCCATGTAGCCATGCTGCCCTATAACAACCCGTGTTTGCATGGAGCTCACCCATAAAAGCACTATCCAGGCTCAGCACTGCTTAGCTTCCGAGATCTGACGAGATCCGATGCTTTCCGTGCGACTTGAAGCCAGGTCTCACAGCTGAGCGATCATTCTCGCAAAAATCGAAATCTCTGAGCAGATCGATGCTCGCGACTGCTCGCGACTGCTCAAAAAAGACGTCTACATAGAAGCGATTCAGTTGAAACACCGCCGAGTTGCTCGGGTGTTGAACCCGGATTTTGTGTTTTTTATTCACCACTTTTGCTCTGCCCTTGAACCGCGCAGCGCCGAACGTCCGCTGAGCAAGCGCCACTCGGAGGGAACCTTCACAAGCGACTACAGCAAGTACCTGGAGAACAAGCAGGCCAAGGACTTTGTACGCTGGCTCATGAACGCCAAGCGTGGCGGGTAAGGTCATGGTGTACCACCTGCACAGTCCTGCCAGTAAATGGGGAACGTGGGGCCAACGTTGGTCCAATGGTTGCAACCGCACGCTAACGTTGGCACAACGTTGCACGTTTACCAGGCTTCTGTCAATCCACTGCTGGATGAGGGCCTCCCCCGGTCCCTTGCGGGACGTGGGGGTTATTTGACCATACTTCACCACTCAGCTCAGTGTGGTTGCCTTTGCTATACATCAGACCACTGACCTCACCATTTTGTAATTTGTGTGCCGTAAAGTTGAACGAAACTTGTGTTTCTAGCTGAGCATAATCATAAAAAATGTATTTGTTTCTTTTCTGACAAACTTATTATTTTTTCTTCTCATCATTGGTTTTCTTCACTGAGATAGTTTGTGCTATATTGTGTTCGCAACTCAGGTGTCTCGCTTGTAAAAAAAATATATATACGTGTCTTCATTGTCAATGAGGTTCATGCGATAAAGTTTATTTCATTACATGCATGAAACTGGTGTCCTCAACGGCGATGTTCATCCCTTTGTCAATCCACTGCTGAATGAATGCCTCCCAAGCCGTGTCAGTCTCAGGAGTTATTTGACCATACTTCACTAGGCTGCTCAGTGTGGATTAGTGAAGGTGGGAGGGTGAGACCCGGAAACTAGTTAATATATCACTCGCCAATGAATTTTGCTGTGGCCAGCAATTGATTGTGCAGTGCGTTAACCACTACACCACTACTCCAACCGTCAACAGCAATACATAACGTAAATCCCATGATGCTTTGCGAGTTAACAGGACATCTCTATTCTTTCGCATATTATACGCAGCCTTGGAGAAATTACATGAGTATATTTCACGTATGAATTTGTCATACAGCACGTGGCAGGATAACCAAATACACACATCCATTGGCCCTCAGGTTGTAGAATTGCACAGTGGGGGGCCCGTCAGGGAACGTGCATTATAAGTCCTTCCTGGGGCAAAGGAGAGAACGTGCCCGAGAGGACGTCCTCGGCACAGATGGAGCAACGAGTGTGGTCTTCCCGGCTGGGCCACGTGGCGAGCAAAATCTTCTCTCACCATGCGTTCACCGTGCACCACGCTCGACTGCCCGCGGTAGTGAGTGAATTGCGAGTGGCCTGCGAGATCCCACGTGCTAACTGGAGCGATGAGATGAGCTCGCATGGAGGAGCTACAGACGGCTCGTTGCATCGCGTAACAGCGGAGAGCGGCGACGGCTTTCTGTGGTCTTCATCCAACGGTGGATAGATCGTGACATGATGATGACGACGGGACCGTGAGGAGGTTGTGCCTGTCCCTCCTGCAGCAGTGAGCTGCAGCGGAGGCACGCTGACGGCACCTTCACCAACGACATGACCTCCTACCTGGACGCGAAGGCTGCCCGCGACTTTGTCAGCTGGCTCGCCCGCTCCGACAAGTCGCGCAGGGAGTGCGTGCGCAGCATCGCGTGCACCCGCAGCGTGCACTGGCATCCAGCATGCACCGCTAACCACCAGCACGCACTGCTGAATCTCCAGCACGTATCACTAATCCCCAGCATGCACCACTAACCTCCAGAGTGCACCAGAAACATCCAGCATGCACCGGTAATCTTCAGCATGCAGCAAAAACCTGTAGCACGCACCAATAAGCACCTACATGCACCGCAAATCACCAGAATGTACCGTGTTTCGTGTTTTGCCCTTCTCCCGCACCTCCAATTAGCACGCTTGGTTACGTACGGTGCGAAAGAATGTCAACATGCGTACAGTACACACGTACATACCACAAATCTCCAACATGCACCGCTATAACCTGCATGCACCGCGAACCTCCTGCATTCGCCACTCGCCTCCGGCGTGCACCGAAATGAGAACCTTCGGCCTGTGAATGTCACTCACGATGAGCCCCCCCCACCCCGCGTGTGCAGCGGAGGGGATCACCTGGCCGAGAACTCCGAGGACAAACGCCACGCGGAGGACGTGAACGCGCTGCTCGACAGGACGATGGCCAAGACCTTCATCGAGTGGCTGGAGAAGCAGAACAGCAACGACCAGGCAAGGGCTGAGCAAACCATGAACAAACCCAGCTGGCGGGGACAGGCACGTCAGTCGTCTGTCAGGGCCTATAGAATATGGCCTAAATCAGTGTTCTTCATTGCAAGGCCCTTCGAGCCACTGGCGGCGCCTCGTGGCCTTTAGTGGGGCCCCTGACGTGCAGCTCCCGACAATACACAAATGTGAAAGCACCCTATCATGATGCTGTCAAATCAAATGATTTCAAATGTGTGGCGGCCCTCACACTGATGTTTTATCGGCGAAAGTGGACCACCTTTGAAAATTAGTGTTGAACGTTGTAACAAAAAAGTGGCTTTATTATGGATTGACTCACTCCTGCCATGGGCGTGTGAAATTTCCATACCTGGTCGGGGCTGTCAACGGTAGGGGAGCACCACTCCACGCACGTTGGAGCTGGGGGGGGGGGGGAAACTTCTGCTTTTGATTTAATGTAAGGACTATCCGTGCGCATGTCGTACTTGGATTTGCTGTCATGACCAGATTTGTGCTCCGTAATTCTGTTCTGTTCATGCGTATGGCAGCAAAAATATGTTCAGGATCTAAATGCCAATGTCGAGATCTGGTGCGGGCAACAACGAGAGAGCTTCAGGCGTGAGCTTGTGCAGTTTTGCTCGTCCTCCTACGTTAACGGAGCACAGGCTACAGTGGCTTACTATACGATCTGTGGTTTGGCGTTGTATCGCCACAGTCGCACGACTGTCGCTTGTTTAAAAATGTACATGAATGAGATGAACGCGTCAGCCTGTTGATGGTCTGACCTGGTTAATGCCGCGCTCAGTAATCATACATTACAATAAGGCCGTATCCTCTTGAATATAAGACCACACTTACCATATATCCCTGAATTTTAAGCAAAATTTAGGTGCATATCGTATAACCTGTAAGGTGTGTGGTGACTAGATTTGTCTCACGCCATCTCACACTTACGCTGCCCGCCTCCTTCACAAACCCGCACTCGACTGACGAGCTCGGTGAAGCAATGGTCAAATAAATATACAAATAAAACCCCCCTCCCTCCCCCCCCTGCCACGACCCGCACGCACGGTACGAAAAAGCCCTTCGTCCGCCCGTGGAGTGATAGGCGTCCACTAAAGTCGCCCGTTCGGTGTGTCCGTCCGTCTCTCGCAGACGGACTGAGGTGAGGAGAGAGACGGAGAGAGGGACGGAGACGAGGGAGAGAGGGGAGGGGAAGCCCGCTCGGCCAACTCCACCGCGCCGCCTGTCATTACGTGCCGCGTTTCCCCCGCGCCGCCCCGGTGGCCTCATCGGATTCAAACGCAGCCCTTCTGGCTGCCGCAATTCGCATTTGCCTTCTACCCACTAAACACCCCCACCCCCCCCCCCCGTGCTTTTACGCCTGTAAATAATTCATTACAGAAAATGGCAATAAATTAAACATGAATCAGTTCACTGCGTCTGTTTTGGTATAAAGTGGCTCTCGCCGTATTATGGGATTCCTGTGCCAAAGGTGTGTTTTTGTGCGTCAGGCCCTCATATATTTGACGAGATTACGAGATACAGAAATATATTACTATTAACCCATGTGATGCAAATTATTTGTCAGATTTGAGATGTATTGTGTTGACATGTTGAATGTTGTAGGTTGACCCATGACCTCTTTACGCATAAATGCTTAAAAAGCAACGCTGGGTTGTTACCATTGGCTCATCACCGTGTTAACATATACGCGTATTGTTACTTTCATCCCAATGCGTAACTGTACCAAAGATAGGTGAGGTTAAACCGTAATATGTTTTACGTTGTATGTATACGAGTTTGTAGTCGTGAAGAAGGTTTTAAAGTAAAGGGCAGGGACACATCACTAGGAGGATGATGATGATGATGATGGCCGATGGTTGAGACTAATGGGGGAATAAATGGAAGATCAAAGAATCGCCCAACTGCGACTGTGGAGAAGTCAAAAAACATCAAAGCACATCACAGATGAATGCTCCATCCATCCGCATCCTGTCGGTATCACTGAAATCCACACTGCATCAACCCCACATCATTGGACTGGACGAGCAACCTTTGCATTAATTTATGACGGTCATTAAGAAAAAACGAACTGTCGCTTTTCACAATGCCATAAGGAAGAAGGATGGAGGAACGACACACGTCGGAAAAGGACAGACACTGCGGTGGTGGCGCGACAAGATTGAGTCAGGGGCAGGAGCAAACCTCCAGAGGCGATGGTAATTACGTGGGAAGACGTTCATACAGCAGTGGATATATTATGGCTTTGGTTGGTGGTGGTGATGCTTAGTTTGGCGATACTCTGGTATGGAGGGTGGCACAGGTGACAGCGTCTCCAAACAATTCCACACCGTCTCCCGTGACCACCTATTTGAGATGTATGACATAATCACTGGAAATATGCCTGCTCCCATTGTATTTTGCCAGCTAAGATCACATCAGATGTTGGCAGCTAAGCAATGGTCGGAGCCTGGATAATCCTTCTGGGTGGGTGACCACCACGGACGCGAGGTTGTCATAAGCTGCTGCATGGCTGTGGTGCTTGCTGGTCAGCAAAGGGCAATACAGCAACATTCGCTATTGTATTGTACTGCTATGCTCCCACGTCTATGCTTTCCTTATTCATCAGCCTGCACTTGACCACCTGAATGTAAAATAGTAGTTGCTGCTATGTATCTACATTAGCCATACCAAATGAAGAAGCCCGCATCAACCAACGTGAAGTGTGGTCAAACAAGCCCCATGACGACACGGCGTACGAAGATCCTGATCATCAAGCAGTGGATTTGCAAAGAGGTGGACATTGCAGACCTCATGCCTGTGGCCCAATGAGAGATGTGCGCCGCCTGGCGGACAAAGGCGCGGTACTGCGTTTAATGCGCTAAAAGGTGACGGCAAATTCTCACGAATCTTCACGTTACTCAGAAGCGCAGTTTCATTGGCGTTTGCAGTTTAAAAAAAAAAGACAACGAATCAACTCGCTGGTAATCGGTCTGTGCGTTATAAACGGGAACCTTACGCCTCATAAAATGCAGTGGATGAATGGAGGCGTTGTGTGGATGTGTTCCCCAGGAAACGTGGCAGGCTAACGTTCTAACGTTGCATTTTTACTAGAGGTGTCTGGATATTAGTTTGCGGGTATTCGTCGACATACTTCCGGTCTGAAAAACATCGTCGCAGCCAAAGTCGGGTAGGGTTTTAATGAGCGTGTTCATAATGGGTGTCGCCGTAAGAAAAAAAATTAATATCAGCCGGAGCTGTTCGAGGCTGAGCTCTGGAAAACATCTCTCGCTCTCCGACGAGAGAGAAATTCCTGAGCATGAGGTGTGGGGGGGGGGACCAAGCGAGGCGGTTTGTGCGGTGTTGGTTTTTAGGGCTCGCAAATTGACCGCAGAACTCACATTTTGCTGAGCAGCAGCGGTAATGTTTCACCACAGCGCCCACGTGGTTCGCGTTTTAACTGCTCTCTGTGAAGGCATGTGACCGAGTGCCGGGCGAGGCTGGGTCCAACCGAGTTTGCTCCGCTGTTCCTGCTCCTTGCAAAGCTTACAAAATCTGGGCTCTCGGCTCAACCCGATCCACCGGCACCGCCATGTCCTCCTCCTCCTCTCTCCTGTGGCGCTGCTGTTGCTGCGTGCCTCCCGAGGGCACGCCAGACGAGGTGAGAGGCAATTTGTGGAAGAGGATGTGATGGGGCTCAAACACGCCGTTTGGTGATGCTGCCTGTGCGTTGGCAGTGGTGCACAATGACGGATAACACGAAACAAACTCAACACGTTTCGTCAAAACACACTGGCTTCAAACGAAACATATTCGAGAGGCGACGTTTCGGGCAATGAACCTTAATAGCGTGGTATGAAGGGTCAATGCCCGAAACGTCGTCTGAGCATTGTTGCAGCCATATTCGGTTTGGGTTTCAATGCAGCGTTATTGACGAATGTGTTGGAATTATTATTACTCCGTAGTAATAATGCTGTATCGCATTGCGATGTGTTTTCGGGTTGTACGGTGTGTTGTTCGGCACGATGTCCGATGTTTCGATCCACGTGCTGAGTGAGAGCTTCTTCAATTCTCTTCCTGAAGAAGCTCCCACCATATGATCATCTTCTTTACACGAATACCGCTGTCTGTGTTCGCTAAGTATGTGTGTATCTCGGGTGTGTATACCTCGGGCAGTTATTGAAGTTGGCCCGGGATCAACATTCTGGGAGGTGTATCTGTATGTTTAATACTATAAATACCATTCGGATTTATATAGCGTCGAAAAAAAACAACGGCATCCAAATAAATTTAGATTTAAAGCTTTCGTGACTGCAAGGATTCAACTTCTTTGGTTCTTTCGGTAAAGTCACGTAGAATGAGAATAAAATAATTATCATTTTACGTGACTCATTCTACGTGACTTTACCGAAAGAACCAAAGAAGAGGCATCCCAATACCCCGTGCATTTGCATATATTTGATTTACGCATATATACTGTATGTATGGAAATATGTGCATCCTGGAAAAGAGGCAAGTTCTGCCAAAGGCAGAAGAGAAGCCAGAAGCAAGGCATTGAGCCTGGACTTCAACAAGGGCAGGGAGCCAACAGCACGGACGGCGGGCGGGCGGTGGGGGGGAGGAAAGTCGGTTCCAGACTACAAAGGAGCACGAGAGAGCTTCCCACTGAGTGAACGTTGACCGAGGTCTGCCACTTGAAAGCCATGTTTGCCCGAGCAAAGGCACGGATGGAGATTAATTGTAACAGAAGGTCGCCATCACCGGCAGCGTTAGCAGCACGGGCACGCGACGTCCGTGCAATAGTGTCGTCTAAGCAAGCGCCTTTGTGGTCGTCGTGAAGTTCTGCCTGCTGGTTAAAGTTGCGACCGTTGTTTCCTTTGCGATAGCAGTGGAAATTATTTTGTCGATGTGTGCGATCGTGGGTCACTTAGTAAGTTCAGCAGGGGGTTTTTTTTTTTACAGGCCAAAACAGTATTTGTACTTGCTAACATGCGGGATGTCTCAGTCAAACACGCCTGTGGAGAGGCCACAGTCCAAACATAAACACAAAACGCTGTACCCAGCACTCGCAGAGATCTCGCTCGCTCTCGCCATGTGCTCCGGATTATTGGATGAATTTTTTTCCCCCCTCCACAGTAATTATATTATCAGGCAGAGTTTTGGGTGGAACGCGCGTCTTACACATCGGTAGGTCGTGTGTGTGTGTGACCAGATTGGTATACATACGCAGTAGATTGTGTTTACATCGGGCGCACATTCTAGGATGAGCGCGTCTTTTCTTTCCACGCTCGATGTGCGGTTCTGTTGCGTAATGGTGCGAGTTGTGTTGGACTCCAGCCCGCGTGCGTGCTTTTTTTTACTGAGTGTATTTGTTTTTTATTGTGAAGCGAGTTACTTGTGCTCCAATTAACCCGGCTCTACCCGGTTTTGCCACTCGCTGTTATTATGCATTCGGAGTTTGGTAAGTGACATTATACCCCGTTTAGTTATTATCGATTGCAATTAAACCCTGCTGTTTCTGGTTTAAGTAATGTTGTTTTAGTAACAATAATAATATTATCATGAATTGCCTGTGACTGACACGGATTGTGCCCGATGTCGTAAGCTAAGCAGTAATGAGCCTGGACAGCGCTTTGGATCGGCGACCACTATACATAACCGGTTGTTATAGGCTGTGAGGCTACGTATTGGACGAAGGATGGCAGTTCAAACTAAATTGTACTGTACTCTGCTATGCTCCAACGTGTATGCTCCCCACCTTCAACTACACGCACTGGCAAGCGTTGTAAAAAGTGCGGCCAAACAACAACCCCCATAACTGGCGGTTTTGGGAGCCCTTCCCCCAGACGTCGATTGACAAAGGCGCTGTAAGTTCTGTAACTCATTGACTGTCACGAGCCTGTTCATACCGCATGAGCAATTCAAGAGGTCACTGCAAGTCTGCAGGCAGATGGTAACATCCCAAGCAACACAGCGACGTGGCAGTGCTGGTCACGTGTATTTGATTTGCACAAAAGAGCACGATTTTAGTGAATGTTGGCTCTTCAGTAGCATATGATGTATGTCCCCCCCCCCCCCGCCTTGAAATAAGCATACGTTGCAGGGTGGTTGTAGCAGTAGATCGACAGACGGAGCCGCACACGCGCACGCACAAGCACGCATGCATCCGCGATGCCTTGGGCCGACATTTGGGGCCCACGTTTCGTGTCCTTCCGTGAGCAATGCAGAGGGAGCGGCTGGTCCACCGGGGCGGCTCGCTCATCCCTGCCAACGAGCAGGCCGGCGACGGCGGCGACTCCGCCGAGCAGCCTCCACCCAACCGTGGGTCCGTGGTCTCCGCTCGCAAGGCGCGACCTCCTCCTGCTTCCGCCGAAGGTCTGAACCAAGGCCGTAATTATAAATATGCTCAAAATGTCCCCTCCCCCCCCTCCCCAATATATAGCTATAAAAAAATATAATTGCTATGCTATGGAAATAAAAATAACAATTTGCCAAACCTTGGCCACAATATCTGGACTTGTCTTCATATAAATCAATGCATAGATTTATGTTTATATTATTGTGGTTATGGTTGTACTTTATTAATCCCTAACCTCTGCCATTACATACAATGAAACAAGAAATGGTAAAAAAGTGAAAACAGAGCAATGTGATACAATACACTCTTAGACATTATTGTTCAAAAAAAAAGTCCATCCCATGTGTTAGTGAATTTATAAATATTTTAGGCAGGAAATTGGTTTTCAAATTTAGATTTTTTTTCTGGGTTGGGACCCCCAGACACCCTGGAAGATTTGGTCCCCCCCAATGTTGACTCCATGGCTACGGCCTTGGTCCGAACCGCCAGCGTCGCCGAGATTGACCAAGCAAATTGGTGCTCGCCGTGACTCTCGTCGGGACGACATCGGGAGCGCTGGCGGGCTCTGCGTATCTCTAATCCAGCACCGTGGAGGCAAGGGGGTTGGTGGATCACACAAATGTTGTGAAACTCGTCTCCTGTAGGCGTCGAGGAGGTGACATAACCCTCACTCGCCAAGAGATGGGGGGCTGTCCATAAATGACGTCACGCGATTTTGGATGATTTTTGACCCTCCCCCCCTCGGCACACAGCGTCACAAAAAGTCAGACCTCCCCTCAAATATGACGTCACAAAGCTCTGCCCCCCCCCTCCCAAAAAAAACACATGCTTCAAATAGCTTTAAACTATTGTCATTGTAGTGCGTATTTAATGTGGCGCTGCACTCTGATATTGTAGGAGAAAACATTAAAAAGTCTATTTAAGTAGAACGTGTTGTCTATATTTATTTAAAGTTGCGCATTTTGATGTGACGTCACATTTCTCAACCCCCCCCCCTCGTCACGCATCGTCACAAATGTCTGACCCCACCCCCCCCCAGGTGCGTGACGTCATTTATGGACGGCCCCTGGTAGTTCGAGCCAAAAAATGTGGACTCCACATTTTCCGGCTTTATGGGATGCAGTAATATCCCCCTGTTGTATATGTCGGTTGTGATAATTTTGATGAAAATCATAAAAATTAAATGAAATTTGGAATTTGCGTAATTATCCGAAATTATGTTAATTGATGTGATTATGCGCATAAATTATGCTAATTCGAGAGATACTCGTTTTAATTTATGCGAGTAGGTGTGATTATGCTAATGCAAGCCGTTATGATAATTAGGCCCCGCCTCGCTGACGAGGGTCGCATTATCAATCGGGATCATACAATTAATCGTATGAGGTTATGCCAGTGTGATGCAAGCATGCCAGAGTAACTCGCTCGTTGTTTAACTTCGTATTAACGCCTGGTAATACAATTATTCTCGCTTTAACCTTTACTGAGTGTATTAGTGTGTTTATGTCAGGTCTCCAAATTCAGATCTCAACGCAGAATACAGTTCTTGTAAATAAGATTATTATGCATGGACTTCTGGAAAGAAGCACGCAACCGCTTCTGCGTTAATCAATTTTATTCTAAACGAAACTTTAACGTTATGATATGCGAACCCTCAAGCTTGGAATTTCCAACACAGCATCAACCCAGCAAACATCAACGATTGCGTTGTTTCACTTTGGCAACCGCACATATGATTAATTCCACCATGTAACGTGAGCTTAATTGGTGATAGAGAGAGTTGTTAAAACATGCATGCACGCTATTCTAAACAAAAACCTTAACACTCTAATATGCAAATTCTTGTACTTGAAATTGTCAGCACAGTGTTACCAGCGATGTTCATTTCATTGATCTATCTCTTCAACCCTCAATAATCACGTTGTTAATTGGATAAAGGAATAATTGATTACTTCCTCTGGGTACCACGAGCATATTGAAAATACGAATAAAAGTCCTTAAAAGTTCATCCGACGATATTCATGCGAAATGGCAGTCAAAACAATTATTATTCCCCAAAGGCAAAAGTATATGTCAATGGATTCATTGGCAAGATTATGCCATTTAAAAGAAAACGAAAAAACGTACGACTTAGTTGCTTCTAAATTACCTTATCCACATAACTCAATGGTAGCAATGTTCTTCACGATCAGTTGATATTTAATGCACCACCTTGGAAGGTCACTCTTCTTGATTGTCCCGATATGCGTGTTGTGTGTCTTCGTGAAGCAGACGCCGCGTGATGCGTCGTGAGGGTGTGAGTGTGGGGGAGGGTGATACGAACTGCTTTGTTCTCTTGCTCAGGGCGTCGGCTTGGCTGCTCGTGCTGGCAGATACAGGCTCTTTCCGCTGCTGGATGGCTGCGCCGCACGCGCTCTCTCCGTGGAGATGCGCGCGACCACAATCGCCGCTGGTTCGCTGGCAGCAGCAGGCTCTTTCCACTGCTGTAGTATCTACGCACGCGCTCTCTCTGTGGAGATGCGAACGATCACGCTCTTCGCTGGTTCGCTGACTCTTTTGCTCACGGGCGGCTGGTCAGGCTCTTTCCGCTGCTGGATGAGCCAAGTCGGCACACGCTTGGCCGCTGGCAGCAGACGCTCTTGCTTGGTGGCGCTGGTCGCGCTGCAGCTGGAAGCTGGCACTCGATGTAGAAATAAAAGTCTTTGAGCGATACTTCGTCTTTCAGCTCTGAACTCACGCTCGTTGATACATCGCTACTCGGCGAGCCTCGCCATTCTCAGTTGATCGCGGGGTCCCTTGGAGCCAACCGCTCACCGCCCTCTTCTGGCTCTCGCCGAGCTGTTCTCGTTGAACTGTCGAGAGCCTATATGTGTGTGTCATGCTGCTGTTTTATCCGGAAAAAAAATCTCTCCCCTCTGCGCGTGGGTGGGAGGGGGTGTGTGCCGTCCGTGTGTGGGTGTGTCCGTGTGTGTGTGTTTGTTAAGCCATCTGTTTTCCTTCATTTGATCACCGTGCCCTCCTCAAGGTGTTACATTCCTTGCTATCCGTGCTGCGGGAAGACAAAGGCAGCCGGGGTCTTTCCTTCCTATGGAACACAGTCTATCTTGGCTGTGTAAGCCCGTCCCATTTGCCTCATCCCTTCTGGATAACCCTGGATTTAACACTGCATCATTATTGTTGTTAACGTTCCCCAAGATTTGTGATTTAACATTGTATTAACTTTTGCTCCGCCTGTATCCGGGGGGGTCCGCGCTATCATGCCTGAGTTATAATTTACTTTATTTTATACCCGGTGTCCTGAGGTTAGAGAATTCGCTTTGACTTAGGCATAACTCGGACTGCCAGGATTATTCTTGACGCTTCGGTCAGGTCGTGTAGACAATTGTTGAAGGTGAAAATGACATTTAGTATCGATTTAATAAATGGGTAATGATTCACTGATGTAAATTGTGGCCTGGTTTTAATTGGAGTGTGAGGATCGATAATGTTAGCTTATACTTGTTGTTGAATCTTGAACTTTAACCGTTGTTTTAATAGCAAATAAGAGGAAAACTGTTTAACTCGCTTGTATGCGTTGGTCTGTCTGTGCTGATGGAGGGGGGGGGGCGAACTCTCAAGCTTGGATTTCCCCCTCCCCTCTTGCTGACCCCGGAGTTGCTGCGTAACATCAATTTTGATGTTTGTTTGCCCACCCTTTGGCAATCTGGAGATGTGGGAGATAGTCGCTAACCTCTTTTTGCACTGGAATTTATTATTTATTTTTAAAAAATGGCCTTTTTACGATCTCCATCTGCTGTTTGCTGGTCCTTGGTTTGTGTTTTTATTTATTATTTCGGTTACTAAAAAAATATATATAGGCAAATATTATTGATATTGTGGAAAAAGGGCCGTATACAACACCCCCCCCTCCCCCGGTTTACGTTGGTGATGCGGATCTCGAAACGACGTAAATCAAAGCAATTTGATCTACGAGAGCTGCACAAAGATAACGGAGGGTGCGGTGGTGCTGTGTTAATGCGCGCATCTTCATCCTAGACGTACCCACAATGTTACATTAAATTACTTAAAATACTGTACACAACACTCGTGTTCAGCAGTAAACTTTAACACAAATTATACAGGGCACAATATTATACAGTACACTATTAAAAAAATCACCAAAATACATAAATAATATACAGTACTCTTCAGTACAGTATTCCTGTATGCGCGAGAGCCGACTACTTTGTCTACAGGGTAGGTGAAAGCGAAGGCTGAGGCGACGGATACGAGAAAGCATGATGCTGTCAGCGACGTGTGGGTTCAGGCGACGCAAATCTGGAGCAACACGACCACACTCAATGATAGCTGGCGCCAAACTGTACCACACGCCCTCCCGCATGGCCTTGTGGGAGCCACCGTGTGCCAATAAAGTAATTTTATTTCAGTTTTTCTTTGGGTTCCATTCCAATCATGTACATGTACGTCATCGGAACGGGTTCATATGTGGGGTCATTCTCTGTCGGCGCTACAAGTTGAAATAATAATAATTATTGATGGGCCCGTGCTCCACATAAGTGATTCCAAAAAGCAACGTCAATCCGGATGGATTTTTCACCTTTGCCCATTCTGTGGTGATGGCCACACTCGCTGGCTGCTGTCCGCAGCACTTGACAGGCACGGCGGAGAGGAGGATAGAGGGCGAGCGCTGACTGTGCGTGCGGTCGGGGTGCCTGACGTGGACTCCCGCGTGACGGACGCGGCGGAGACATTCGCGAACCTGCAGGCCGAGCACATGGGGGTCGCCCGCGCCCGGCAAGACCTCTGCAAGAGCGCGTGCTGCGGCAGTGCCGCCAGCCAGCACGGGCTTGCCGAGTGCCTCCGCAACCTGGAGCTCCGGCACGGTGAGCGGTGCCGCGAGGGGCATTTTGTCCGATTGGGAATATTGGCTCGGGCGTCGGCGATGGAGTGAACAATGCTGGTCGCGTTTGAGTACACGAACTCGCCTTTGTCAGCCACTATTATTCTTACCACTGATATCTACATCGTGACCAGCATTGTGATTTTTCAGAAGTAAAGCCTGTAAGCTCGTGTCCATAATCATGTTATGGCTTATAATGAGGTACTTCTATTATCTGACATGTTATCTGACATGTTAAGAAAATGGGCTTGGGCAAAACATGTCGCTAAAAAAGATGATGGGAGGGTGGTTAAGATAAAGTCACGGATGCCAATGAAGTAAATGTACCCAGGATGATATCCACTATAGAAATGGAGCGATGAAATTCTATCATATGCAGGACCATTAAGAGATGGTGACAGTTTGAAGAGCCTTTCATCCAGCATGACGAAGACTACCTGACATGTCACAAATTTTTAACAGATTAATATTACAATACCAAGTTCATTTCAGTAAATTTGTAAAGAATATGGTAACAGATTTTATTGAATGTTCACATTTTTAACATGAAGCAGTTCTATTTAAAAATCTAAAATTTTGTACGTAACCTGCAAATAATATTTTACCACTGCCCCCATGAGTTTACAACTGTTATTTTCAACCCTACAGAGACGGAGCTTAAGATGGAGCTCAAGGGCTACAACTTCTCATTGGTGATGAAAGACGGAGGCGTGGACATGCCGACGAGCGTTCAGGAGGCTGCTCGACTCGTTTCCGAGTTGAGCACACGGGCGAGAGCCTTCCTGGGAATGAGCACGCGGCTGGACGAGATGATGGCCGCCCTGCTGCGCACAGAGTCCACAATCTCCAAGGAGGTTTCTGAAACCAACAGAGACTACGCGGACAACGTGCGGGCGCACGACAACATGCAGAGGAGCCTGGCCGAGTTACGGCGGGGACGCAAGGACGTCGCTCGCTACAAGCAGGAAATAAACAGCCTCTTGCTGCAGGTCGCTCAGATAGCTGGGGTGATGGAACAAGCTTCCGAAGACTAAGGATCAGATTTCTCACGTTGCAGAATTGGCCAAACCACGCGTCGCCCTAATCTTGGGTAGGTAGGAGTGGCAGAAACAACCGCGCTCACCGCGAGCACAGGATAAGGGAGAGAAACCGAGAGAAAGGAGCGAACAGAAAGGGAGATGAAGAAACACGGAGAAATAAGCAGAGGAAAACAAAAATCGGGCATATGGAGTCGGGGGGTCAGAGAGAAATAGTAAAACTAGACGCACGTAAAGAGACAGAAAACGAGACAATGAGACAGTGGGAGACGGAGGGAGAGACATTGACAGAAAAGGCAGAGCGGAAAACAGGACTTGTTATTATGTGGTGGTGGGGGCGATAAGACAGACTTGATAATTAAAAAAAACGATTCAGCTTAAATTGATTCTGAAACATAGACCAGATACGTGGCATTCAGTCCAATAGTAAAATGTGTTGTCCGGTGCACCCTTAATTCTTGGTGTCGGAAACACCTTTTGGCAAAGAAAAAACATATTTGGCTGGCCAATAATATGGAATGATCACAAATGTGATATATTTTGCTATTTTATCCTGTTATATTCTACGTAATCATATAATTGTAATGCAGCTACCTTAAGAACTCCTGCACAAGCATAAATGAAAACATTCTTTGAATTTAAGTACTGAATACCAACATTCAGTCTCGTAAATAGGTATTGTTGCAAATAAACCATGTCATTTTTTTCATAACAGGTCCCTGCAGGGTGGGCTGGTAGGACAAGTCTCTGCGCTGTCTATTTCTGATTTTACACCCAACAGCACGAGATTTCACTTCGTTAAAGTATTGAAAGGGGACGGACACATTAATCTATTGCAGGCTGGTACACTCAGTTTACAACTTCGTTCCTACCAGTATTATATACACTTTGTATGTTTTATTCGATCATAAGCTTAAAGTTTTGCACATAATCAAAAATCGGAATTTAAATGTACCCCACAATTGGGTTGTGCAAATAAGTGCGTAAGTTATATTTGTTAGCACTGCATTAACCCAACATGAAAAAAATATTTACTGGAAACATATCACGTGTCACGGCTTTTATTTCATGATAAAATAAACATTCCAGGGTTATTATATTTTTTTCACGAGCAAATGTACAAAAAATGCTACTGCCATTAACGTGCCCTATTAAGATGCAGAGGACAGCATAGGATATATTCAGAACGTCCTCGAAATAACGGTGATTTTTTTTTGCAGGAAGAAATGTGCTCCAGAAGATCAAAACACAGCACATTATGCGACTTGCTAATTATCTGCATCTTTGCAATATGCAGAAACTGTCATTTGCCAAGTAGTCCCAGTTTTGTACTGAAGAAGTAACCATAGCTTTCGACTGTGCATTCCCGATTTAGTTTGTGATTATGTTCACGGTTTTTTTGCTAACTTTGACGTAGTTTTTTTTATTTTTCTGAACATAGAACATTCCAAATTGTAAATGAGATGAATCTGATCCTCATGGACATAACAGGGTTTTGTTAGGAAAATTAATATTTTACCGGGGTACCTTAAATTGAATTCGTCCGGTATTTTGACAAGACTATAAAATGCGCTTTAACTCGACTCGCCAGGCTTTGGCTCCGTTGTCTGCTGTGAGATATGCTGCTGAAATATTCGGCTGAGGTTCTGAGCAGGTTGTTGGAGCACGGAGCTGGTCTGCGAGCACACGTGCGACAGCGTGCCCACCAGTTGGCCCTGTAGCACCTCCAACTTTGGCAGCTTCGAGTAGTTCAGCAAACTTTGCTTGCTCATCAGCACATCGTCCACGCAGCCCCCTGGGAGGTTTGGAGAAACAAAAATAACACAATGGGACAGTGTCATTAAGTCGGGTAAACATTATTTGTTTTTTTTAAGTGGTTTAAAAAAAGCCCCACTCATACTTATGTAGAACTTATTTCGCACTGTACGTAGCCAACTGTGCTAATTGGAGGTGCGGGGGAAGGACAACAAACTACACACAAAAAGCAGTTCTAAAGAAATTAGTTATCAATCTATGTTTAAAAGTGCTTATCTCCAGTGGCTTCCTAATATCGGAAGAGCGTTCCAGACGGACGCAAAAAACGCATCTGAAAGCGTGTGATGTGGTGACCGTCTTTGAGCATGGGGTATTGCCTAACTTTTAGTTTTTACAGCCCCAGAGCCAGTGTTGGAAATTTCGCACTACTTTGCCAGGGGTAAGGTTGTCAAATACAACATACACACAGCCCTTTCTGTCAATCCACTTCCTGATAAGGGTCTCCCCAAGCTATGCGGGGGGTTGTGGGGGTTATTTGAAAACAGTCAATGTGAAGGTAGGGAATGCAGATGTTAAGTGCGTAGAAATATTGTTAATCAATATATTTTTATGCACTTTCCTCTGCTACCCACCACAGCTCTATAGGACGATTGTTGGACGACCACAAAGTGGAACTCGTTTTTGTCAACTCCAAAGAGATGACACTCACATCTACCGCAAACTGAGATTTCCACCCGCAACGTGCAACTTTCCAATTACGAGCCACACGACCTAACCCTACTGCGCCAACCAGCTGGCTGTGTATGAGAAAGGGTGCAACGATATTGTCCTTAAGGAGTGCTCACCTAAGAGAATAACCTGTGGGACTGCACGCAGCACTCGCAGGAGTTCCCGCACGCGAGGTTCATGACTCACGACCAGAACGTTATGGCAAATGAAGAGTGGTTTCAAGTTCTTGTATTTGCTGTCATTCAGGAAATACTGTACAACCTGTGAACACATTTTGTGCCTTTAATAAACAAAAACATTCGCTTTGCCTTTTAACTACATTTTTATACAATTGTTGAAATGTTTTTCATTTTAGACACGTTCAATCACTCAAATATTTGCGGTCACCTTGTTTGGAAATATCTTGGCATAAATGTCGTGCTTTCGAAGGTGATGCCTAAACATCACCCAGTCTTCATCCTTCATCGGTCCAAGCTGGCATATGGTGACCATGCGATTTTCACGGAACAACTTCTCCACCTCCCTTTCCAGCAGCATCTCAAGTTTGTTCTTCTGCTCTCACACAGACATGCCATCCCTTATGCAACCAGCGGTCAAAATGGTTTTGAGGATTGCATATATTAAAATGATGCAAATGGATCATACGGTTTTTTTTTCTTCCAACATAGCCATCACAAATAGACAATGCTTGAAGAACACCATATGGTAAATGCAATCGCATTTGGGTACAATGTTTAAATGACCATATTTGTCCCGACCAAAGATAGTGTATTCTTACATGGGGCTGCTAATGAGCATTGTGCATTACATGATCATATGGGTCAGAGAACATATCAAAAGTTATTGACGTAATTTTTACTTTTTTCGGTAAAGTCACGTTGAAGAGAAACAACAGAATAACAAAATATATATAAAACAATAAAAAATTCTCACGACGTTTCGACCATAACTCAAACGGTCATCATCAGGTGTGTCGGTTTGCATAAATTTATTTTGAAAACGGCATATTTATTTATATATATTTTAAAAAACCCGTTTGCGTCACGCACAGCGATTGGCAGTTTGCCCAGGACTAGTCCATCTATTTTTTGAAAAGAGGAGGGGGGAGACGAAATTTGTTTTTATGTATGCTGTCTGAAAGCCACTGTCAGCGTGAACAATCAATCAAGAACTGAAATGATTTATCAAATCTTTCCAATGATTGCTAAGATAGAATCCATCTTCTCGGTTGAAATTGTCTCTGTGCTTGTATATGTGGATAGCCTCATGAACGAATCTCTCATGGAAGCCAGATGGCTTACAAAGAACCTCCGTCTTGGAAAAGTCAATGGCATGTGAGCCTACTGAATTAGAACAATGATCTGCTACGGCCGAGGTGTTGGTCCTACCGTGTTTAAGGTCTGCTTTATGTTCACGAATGCGGTCCGAGATATGGCGTTTGGTTTCTCCAATGTAACTACTACCACAGAGGCAACTTAGTTTGTAGACACCAGGGTATTGTATGTCCGGAATCACATCTTTTACAGACGGAACCAGATCACGGATTTTATGTAATGTGTTGAAACGGACCTGGATCTTGTGTTTATTCAAGATTTTGGAGATCTTTTTTGTGATCCCAGCAATGTAGGGTAAAGTGATGGTTTTGAAAGGCTCCTCAAGAGGGTTCTTCTTCATGGTTTGAGTGATAGCTTTGCGGATTGTATAGTCGGAGTAACTATTAGCCCTAAGAGCTTGGTGTACGTGCTTGAGTTCACTGCTTATGTGTTCCTGGTCGGATATGCATTGGGCTCTATGATACAGAGTCTTGATGAGAGAATTCTTCTGTGATGGATGGTGGTGGGAATCCGGTTTCAGATAAGCATCCGTATGGGTAGCTTTCCTGTAGACAGAGTGGCTCATTGAACCATCAGGTCTCTTTTTAATTAGGACATCCAAAAAAGGTATCTTGCCATCTATTTCGACTTCCATGGTAAATCTGATGGCTGGGTGTATGGAATTGATGTGGTCGAAGAATTGGTCTAGAGCAGGCCGGCCATGTGGCCAGATGACAAAAGTGTCATCCACGTACCTCTTCCATAAGGTTGGGCGCAGAGTGGCAGTCTGGATGGCGTCAGTCTCAAATTTCTCCATGAAAATGTTAGCTATAACTGGAGAAAGGGGGGAGCCCATTGGGGTGCCCTCAGTTTGTTTGTAGAAAGTTCCATTCCAAGTGAAGTATGTATTGGTTAAACAGTGTCTCACCAGGGGGGGTACCTCAGTGTTTAGTCCTTGATGAACCAAGTCTTCAATGATTGCAATGGTGTCAGGTACAGGAACCTTGGTGAATAAGGAAACTACATCAAAACTGACAAGCAGGTCGTCTGGGGACAGGGAAATACCCTTGATTGTTGATACCAGGTGAGTAGAATTTTGTACCGCAGAGGTGGTCTTTCCAGTGAAAGGACGCAGGATTTCAGACAAAAAACGAGCTAGTTTGTAGGTGGGGGAGCTGATAGTAGAGACTATGGGACGAAGAGGTGTATCAACTTTATGTATTTTTGGTAAGCCGTATAATCTTGGTGGCCTGGCAGCAGATGGTTCAATGAGCCACTCTGTCTACAGGAAAGCTACCCATACGGATGCTTATCTGAAACCGGATTCCCACCACCATCCATCACAGAAGAATTCTCTCATCAAGACTCTGTATCATAGAGCCCAATGCATATCCGACCAGGAACACATAATCAGTGAACTCAAGCACGTACACCAAGCTCTTAGGGCTAATGGTTACTCCGACTATACAATCCGCAAAGCTATCACTCAAACCATGAAGAACCCTCTTGAGGAGCCTTTCAAAACCATCACTTTACCCTACATTGCTGGGATCACAAAAAAGATCTCCAAAATCTTGAATAAACACAAGATCCAGGTCCGTTTCAACACATTACATAAAATCCGTGATCTGGTTCCGTCTGTAAAAGATGTGATTCCGGACATACAATACCCTGGTGTCTACAAACTAAGTTGCCTCTGTGGTAGTAGTTACATTGGAGAAACCAAACGCCATATCTCGGACCGCATTCGTGAACATAAAGCAGACCTTAAACACGGTAGGACCAACACCTCGGCCGTAGCAGATCATTGTTCTAATTCAGTAGGCTCACATGCCATTGACTTTTCCAAGACGGAGGTTCTTTGTAAGCCATCTGGCTTCCATGAGAGATTCGTTCATGAGGCTATCCACATATACAAGCACAGAGACAATTTCAACCGAGAAGATGGATTCTATCTTAGCAATCATTGGAAAGATTTGATAAATCATTTCAGTTCTTGATTGATTGTTCACGCTGACAGTGGCTTTCAGACAGCATACATAAAAACAAATTTCATCTCCCCCCTCCTCTTTTCAAAAAATAGATGGACTAGTCCTGGGCAAACTGCCAATCGCTGCGCGTGACACAAACGTTATTTTTTTATATATATATAAATAAATATGCCGTTTTCAAAATAAATTTATGCAAACCGACACACCTGATGATGACCGTTTGAGTTATGGTCGAAACGTCGTGAGAATTTTTTATTGTTTTATATATATTTTGTTATTCTGTTGTTTCTCTTCAACGTGACTTTA